CTTTTAAACTGAAGGAAAAACAAAGATTTCGAAAAAAATATTTCTATTAACTAATGGAGTATAAAACGTCTCTTGTACCCCCTTATTTACCTTGTACCAAATAAAGATTTTGGAGCCCTTTGACTCTTCTTCCTTAACTTAGACAGAGATTTGGTGTATATGACCTTCCCATGTCAGTGGACACTTATGTCATTTAGTATTACGTAGGTTCAAATTTTATAGAGGTTTAAAAATATCTGTTTTCCCTATTTTTGATTATTGAATTACAAGATGAAGATTTTTGTTTTTCTCTATAAGTCTCATTCAGGTTCACTCGATAATGTCTCCAACTTTTCTTCTGATACACAACTCTCTCCCGACCTTAGATGGCAGAGCTGTCTAGTCCCTATATGCACTCGTCATTCGATTTTGTTGTAATGTGTAAAGGTTGATTTTCACTTTTTTATTACATTGGGTTCAGTCCCTTTCTCTGACTTAGTCAAAGTCAGAAATTCCGGTTTAATTCAGCGTAACATTTCTGACATTCCCCCTTCTATTGCAGTTATTATTCTTACCTGTCATGTATGTTTTCATAATGTCCAAGAAAATGTTCATTATATTAGTCATTGGTCGTTTCTTTGTGGTGTAATCTCTCTCAAAGAATTATCCTGTAATAAACAATTAACCACTACCCATGACATTTCTACATGCTCCAAAATAGCCCAGTTCACACACAAAAAATGCATATACATTTATGAGAATAACAACAAATAAGTAGTGAATTTTGCCGAGAAAAAACATGAGGTCCAGTTTATTTTGGATTGGTCACTGTCACCGGGCTAGACTGGTTTTAGGGGACTGTCCCATCAATAATACTGGACAAGATCAGTCCCCTCTTGTAATTCAAGTGTAAGATGTCGGGGTCTATCGTTTTATCACAAATGGTAATGGCCAATCGAAGAATGGACTAGGCCTCGTTTTTCTTTCTTGCTAAAATTCCCAGTTTTGGCGTTGAGAGAGAGAGAGAAAAAAGGAAGAACAAAAAATTTTATATTATCTGTTGAAGATTTTTGAAGAATAATTTAATAGCATTAATTTTTTTATATATATATCATTCAAAATACCTACATAAATACCACTTACTTGTGGAAAGTAAATGACAAATTAACACCATCCACGTACAAATAAATACTCTGGAAGCTGAGCTGTATATTGATACTTGGAATTACTTTTTTTGATTGAATTAAAATCTTATTTTACTTTGTTATGCTCTCGGGGAAAAAAAGTGTGATTTATTTTGCATCATCCCTTATGATGCAATTTTCAGAAAATTGTAAATTATTCTATGAAATAAATTAAAATTTATTTAAAATGTTCGTAGTGTTTTTTATTATTTAAAGAGATCATTTCCAAGGGTAAAATATGTTTTCCATCAGTAGTTAATGTATAATCACAGTTGCTGTTCATTTAAAACTATTTTGTTAAGTAATTTATCGTTATAGTGCCCTCTATATTTAAGATCACTATAGAGAGTGGAAAAAGAGTTGAGTTAACATCGAAATGGTTTATTGTTGTTATTTGAGTGATATTGCTTAATATGCAGTTAACTTGATAGGTAAGTTTTTTTCGGTATATGGATTAACGTAATAATTCATTTGTTACTAGGCCTAGAAAGGTCTACAGATTAATTAACGTAATAATATATTTGTGTTACTAGGACTAAAAAGTCTGCAGATTAATTAACGTAATAATTTATTTTTGTTATTAGGCCTAGAATTTAGGAAATATCAATGGATTATCAACGTAACAACTTTTTATCCTACTAGGCCTAGGTATACGGATTAATTAACGTAATAATTTATTTATGTTACTACGCCTAGAAAGGTCTGCAGATTAATTAACATAATAATTTATTTTTGTTACTACTACTAGGCCTAAAAAGTTCTGCAGATCAATTAACTTAATGATATATTTGTGTTACTAATACTAGGTCTAGAAAGGTCTGAGGGTTAATTATTATATAATTTATTTTTGTTACTAGGCCTAGAATGGATCGCTTTTAAAAGTATTTTATTTCTTTAACTGGATCACACTGTGCTTTTTAATAAGTAATAATAACTAGTAATTTCAAAGGTTTGAAATAACATAATTTGCAGTAATGGCAATACTGCAAACGACCTTAGAACTTGTACTTACTGATTTCATAATATTATCATATTTCATAAAAAGCTTATTTTTTTGAAAAACAAAAACTTAATAAATTGCAATATGGTTAAGAGTAATTATCAATTTTTTTTATTGAGCTGAATAATACTTTGTTTGTACTCATCACACTTTTATGAAATGTTTCCTGTAAATAATAGGTACCAAACTTAAATATCAAGAAACTCATGAAAACGTTTTTATTCCAACTGACATCACTTCGCGAGCGTAGAGAAACTAAAACTTTTAGTAAAAGACGAAATCTGGATAGTAGTGTTATAAAACTCTCCTCTCACACAATTTTAGAGCTAAGATTTATAGTGTGATGACCGTCTTCAGCAAGATTACTTAAAGGTAATGTTCACGTTTATCCAGTGCACACGTGATTTGTTGGTAAATGTATCGAGCGAAGTGATGGTTTGTAGAAGCTTTCATTTTTATTGCGTTTAGTACATGACCGCTCTTAAAATATATTATTGACTATACTTTATAAGACTTTGTCTGAAGCCTGTTTTCAATTCATGCAAAGAGCTTTTTACCTAATGAGATGTTCGTGTAAACAGACTTACCACTCAGGAAAAGCTGCTGTAAAATGGATCTTCAGATGCTTAAAAGTTAAGTTATTTTCAATGACGTTATTAAATACATGATTATCTAACTGTGAAACTTAAATTTGCTGCAAATACTTTACCTTGTTATGTATTATTACACACGTTAGTAAAACACTGTATAAAACAATTAAAAAGTAATTTGAATATCTAATATAGCCATGACAAGGCGAAACCACTGTTATATTTTTAGAACATGGTAACAGTCATTTCTTCTACATTGTTATGCACATTAGGCACCTAATGAAGAAATATTTGATCTAAAATGTTAGTAATTAGTCATTTAACCTGCACTTGTTATTTAGTAGAGGTGACCTTTACAGTTCATGACATTTCACTTCATTATGGAGTATATCGATCAGGGATAACCTAGCACCAGTATTACAAGTATAAAATCAGTATTGATGGGGTATCTGCTGTGTATACGAGATATATTTGGCTCAATGAATCAACCCATTGAGTTTTCATTTATGATGATATTCTTGTAAACATTTTTGTTAAACTGTAAATTGCTTTAACACAGTGAGACTGGTATATTAAATTACCTACGTTACTTGCTGGGTCAATTTTTAGTTTTAGTATATGTTGTTAGCTTGTTTTTATCAGAAGTTACTGATAAATACGTTAGGAATTTAATTATCTACAAAAAAATGTAGTTGTCTTCCGTACATTTTTCTACTTGTATGCACTAAACCCTGAGATAACTATTGTTATTTTAAATATATAATGCTATATGAATAGCGTTCCCACTTCTTCCATGTTTGTTGTATTTCAGCCGGCCTCGTGACCTCTGTTATTGAGCGAAATGCGTCGTCGGCAATAGATATGGCGGAAATAATGTGGTTGAAATACTATTATATATTCTTCAGATAAACCTCAAAGGACCAAATAAACACTGTAGTGTTTAAAAATACAGTAATACTAATACCTGATGATATATTATCACAAAGCACCAAATCCAACAGCCATATTGTTTGACGGGCTTCCTCTAATGCATTAAATAAGCACCCTCTGTTGGAACCTTGGATTTTCGTGATTTTGTATTTAATTAATATTTGTTAATAATTAAACTAATTGTTGAGTTTATGAGCATAGGAGATACAGAAACAACATTCTTATGTTTAACAATAAAACGCTTTGTCCTTCATAACCACTTCATTAAATTCCTTTTTGTCTTGACTAAGTTTCGAAGGCACAATAGCTTAAACCCTTTGGAACCAAAACTAAATATTCTAACATGAAATGTGTATAAATATTTCCAATTATCTCTGGAAATCAGTTCAGAAGAGAATGAATAATTCTGCGAGGAACGAACTACGTTTGATTAAATTAAATACTGGTTTAACAGTCTATCGCGTTGATAAACGTAAGGAAAAAATATTTTCTTGTTTAAATATCTTACGTTACTAAGATAAGTGATTCTATAGTCTGTACCGTTTATACTGACGAAGGAAATAAAACAATTCATACAGTAACATGAAAGATACTCTTTTCATTGTTACCCAATGTCCAACAAATCTCAAGTCAAAAACTTCCATTGTTACCAATTTCTAACAAAGATTAATTTTCAAAACGTTTATTGTTTCTAACAAAGCTTTTTAAACACTTCCACCATTACCCAATTTCTAGCAATTTCATTGTTTCTAACAAAGCTTTTTAAACACTTCCACCATTACCCAATTTCTAGCAAATTTTAATTTCTTATGCACAAATATACATTTCATAAAAGTATTTCTACCCAACTTATAACAAAGGTTAACTTCCAAAATATACCTTCCTAACCAACTTTTAAAAAAGTTTAATTTCCAAAACTTCAATTGTCACCCAACTTGTAATAAAATTTAATTTCCAGAACTTAGATTGTTATCCAACTCATAGAAAAAGTTGATTTCCGAAACTTTCATTGTTACCCAATGTCCAACAAATCTCAAGTCAAAAACTTCCATTGTTACCAATTTCTAACAAAGATTAATTTTCAAAACGTTAATTTCCAAGATAGCCGTAACAATCAGAGTTTTAGAAGATAAACTTTATTAAAAAATTGGTTTAAAATGTATGACTTTGAAATTATCCTTTTGCTAAAAGTTGGTTAACAGTGGAATTTTGGATATTAAATTTTATTACAGTGTTCTTAGTTTTGTTGAATATGAATTGCTAACTAGCTTCCAGAACAAGGTTCATTGATCGTGAACAGCTTTATTAATTCGCATATAATACAATATTTTTATTAATCGCAAACAGAACACTTTGAAAACCAAACAGTTATCCACATTAAACACTTTTAATGCGACTACACCGCCATCAAGTGCCTGTAACAAATTGTTTTTTATTGTTTGTTTTTTTAAAAAAAAGTAAACAAAACAAGAAAATCGCTAGTACCCTGCTTTGCTAGATGGAACCACTGGTGTTAATTTTATTCGTTGCCATTAAGAGCCAGTGCTATGGGAGGGGAGGGGGGAGTATTAGAGAGACATTTCTTCTCACCGATTTTTATTCTTCCCCTTTCTCCCATCCTTCTAAACCGTTAATTCACAATCGAGATTGTACAACTGTCCGGTAGTTTCGCAGCTTTGGTCAACGAGTGTGTTTGCTTTTATATGTAAATCAATATGTAGTATATCTTCAAATAGAAAATGTCTGCTCATGAGTAATCCTTACTCTCTTGTAGGGTCTCTTTACACGGAGAAAACCATCGAATATTTAGTAAATAGGGACGAAGCTTGTGTGGCTTGTAAACAGATTATATATATATATATGTTTTACGTTACAATGTGTGGAGATTATAATATTTCTTTTGTGATTGTGTATTTTACTTTGGACTTTTTTTTTCGTAACAGGTCTAGAAAACGTTGCCACTTTCGGTGAGTTTCACCAGGTGGAGCCGTAGTATAAAAGAGTAGTTTTAACAGTTATGTTATCCTTGTGCCCTAGCTTTCATTATTTAGCCAATCATGATGGGCCATTTGACTTCAACTATTTAAATGCCAGTGATACTTTACACTTTTTTTTAAAGGGATTAAACTTTTATGAATCAAGTGAACTACGCACGATGTCGATATCTAATAAAGCTATATTTGATAAATACATAAAAAATAAAATAAATCAACAAATATTTATGGAACGAATTTATGTGAATGATGGCCAGTCGGATTCTTCGTGTATTCTTCCGCAGACAAATGGTCTTGATGTTGATGGCGGAAGGACACCAGGCTTCAAGGCCTCATAGGGTCGATCAGGACGGCACTACTTTTAAAAATATATTATTATAATTTGCAACAAATAAGGGAAAATTACACATTTTATAAAATGAAATATAGATAACAGTTTCATTTATTAATCTGTAATTTATTTGAACAAATTATACTTCACTGACTATTGAAACATACTGAATCAACAGAACAAATTATACTTCACTGACTATTGAAACATACTGAATCAACAGAACAAATTATACTTCACTGACTATTGAAACATACTGAATCGACAGAACAAATTACACTTCACTGACTATTGAAACATACTGAATCAACAGAACAAATTATACTTCACTGACTATTGAAACATACTGAATCAACAGAACAAATTATACTTCACTGACTATTGAAACATACTGAATCAACAGAACAAGTTATACTTCACTGACTATTGAAACATACTGAATCGACAGAACAAATTACACTTCACTGACTATTGAAACATACTGAATCAACAGAACAAATTATACTTCACTGACTATTGAAATGTACTGAATCAACAGAACAA